CGGTTCAGAAGAGCTTCTTGTATTGTTTTGTTGCATATTTGAGGTACCTGTATGAAAACAAAGACCTTATTTTCACTGACCAGGTAAGTTAGTTACAAAAGCTTGTGCTGAGCAGAAAAAAAAAAAAAAAAAGCCCCTCTAAATAAGTGAATCCCCCAAATTCCATTTCTCTTCTTGATTACAAAGTCTTTACTTTTATGACTAACACATGATTTTTATAACTAAGGATCAATGACAAATGCATTTCCTCTTTCCAATAGCTTAAGAGGAGAGTTAAGGGATCTAATATTATGGCCAGCTAAGAAGGAACATCCAACAAACTGTCACTTGTGAGGCACTTACTTTTTTTAACTGATGAATGAAGGCATTAAGATCTACTTTCTGCACCCATGTGACTGACAACTCAGCCATCTGAATAAAGAACAAGTCACCACAGAAAATAATACGATGGTTACGGCATAAATCCTGAATTCAGGAAGACCAAACAGCACAAATAGTTTAAAATGGAAAAAGGTTTCATCCCATCTGTGCTAAAAGGTGGGAAATGCGTTTTACAGCAAGTGGAGCTATGAACTGCAGGTTCTAGTACCAATTCTTTGCTCTTGGATAAGCAATTAAATACATGCCTAGTTTAAAGCATCCAGACACTTACAGTGACTTCAATTACTCTATCAGTATTATTTAACATTTTCCTAATGTTATTTATCTCTGTAATTAAATAACTAAGATAAGGGATGTAAACAATGGCAGCAATTCTGCCTTACGTCTCTGGAAGGGCATATTCATGAGATGAAAGATGAGCTATCAGATTAATATCTTGCTGAGATACGGTCCGCAGCACGAATGTTTGGGAACCTGGATGTTTTAAACACTTACGTAAAACTGTCCTAACAGATCATTATCACTGTTTTAAAAAACGTATTTTCCTTTTCCAGATACAAAACCACTGCTCTCTTAAATTAGCTCCTTGAGAACAACACAGAAGAGCGAGACAGATTTTGTAAATTCAGAATGGTAAACTTGACGAAGACTAACGAACAATCCTAAAATTCTGCAGTTGTAACACAGAAAACTTTCGTCTAGGGTGCTCTGATCATAAAAGACTTCTAGATAAAAATCAAAAGACAGAACTGCCCCCTGGAAGGTCATCTTTTCCCAGAACATACTAAAAAGCATAATATTCTAGACATACATGAACATATAATTACATATATTATGTAACTAGAGCATCACAAGGCATAGCCTTGTGACATGCAATATGCAGCCACAGCATAGAGATCTGCATTGCAGTGGCTGCTTGGCAGCTGAGCACCTCCTTGCAGTGCCACGTCAGGCAGGGCAGCCTTATGAAGCAATCCTCAGCAGAGGTGGCAAAGGCAGTGGCGAACATGCAACGGTTTGCACGTGAATGAAAGGTCACTTTTCAAGTAACGACACAGACAGTTAACTGGAAACTCACAACTGACATTTCTGATTGGGCGTGCAAGCTCAACCAGGGATCACCAGAACATGCGAGTGAGACTGAGAAAGATCTTGTGATGTCATAGAAAAAGCTCTTTCACAATTGAATGAATTGTGGCCTTGGAGCCATGTAAGGTTTTGACCCCTACTCTCGCTACTGGCAGACTAGTCCAGAACCCTGTCACCGATATAAACCTTTAGCCTGAATGCATTCACAACCATTTTATGCATGCATTACACTTCCACAGGGCCCTCTCGATCTCGGCTTGACTGGCTCTTCTCCCTCCTTAGTGTTTTATCCTTGATATATTTAGAAGGTGTAACCATATGCCATTTCTTTCGTGCTGGTAGGCAAAGTGCCTTGTTAGATAGGACTTCCTCCTCTTACTATCCTGTTGGTTCTCCTCTGCATCCCACATGATTTATTTTACATTTCCTTAACAGAAGTGATCAGAACTGTTCCTGCTCCCCACACAAGATTCTGCAGCCTTTACTGATACTTGTCCTCAATTGAGAATACCTTCTTAGGAATATATCATTTTATACTTTCTCCTTCTCTGCTGCTACCAATTTACAAGTCTTTAAAGGATAGCAAATACAATTCTGTGTGAATAACAAATTCTCCTAAGAATATTCCCCAGCTTCCCATAGCAGCCAGCCTTTCTATACTTTGTGTTACAGGGAACTGGAGGTACGTTGTTATGGAGAGTAAACATGCTTATGTAAGCTGCATTCAGAAGGGGTAAAGGCAAAACCATCAACATTTGCCACCAATTACCCCCAAAAAATTTTGAAGGATTACCAGTCACTACTGCTTACTTCTATCATCCCATATAACTGTACACTATAAGGAGGTACAAAATCATTCTACAAATTACAACTTTTTATGACCTCGGTACAAGGAAGCCCATAATTCAGGGAGATACTCAAGAAAATGTCAAGAACGGGGTTTGGACCTGGGAAGGGTTGTGTGTTTCCAAGTGCTTGAGGGGGGTGGGAGTTGTTTTTTAGAGAAGCGTATCTAATATGAATAGCTCTTCCTTCTTTTAAGAAGTTACATCTTCAGAATAGCACAATTATGAGATAAAATGAACCAATTAGATCAAGTTTACTTGGTCCAATAGGTATATTCATAATGATCTGACCATTCCTTTAACACATTTAAAACCAAACAAAAACAGTACTGTTAACAACTTTGCTTATCTAGAACAACAACAGGGACAGCTGAGGGTAAACTAGCAATGGCCAGCAGGCAGATGGCAAAGACAAAACAGACAAGCTTCCACCGTTGTCCCTCTTATCCCCTTGGCAGCAGAAGGAACATCAAGTCTCTTCTCCTTTTTCTCTGTCCAAACTCTTCCTTCTGCCCATGGAAGCAACTAAACCCAGCTTTAACAATGTTTCTGGCAATAATTTGGGATATACTGAGAACCAGCCACGCTCATGCTGACTTAACACAACTTCTTTGAGGACAGTAAACCAATGATGACCGAAGAAAACAAGGGGCTTTGAGAAACTAATAAAGCGCCACAGCAAGTCTTAGACCCTGCTTTCAAATAATACATTACATTTTATGCCCTGAAACAAGTCTTCTTATTCCGTATTTTCTCAGATCTAAGGCTTTGACTACAAACTGTATTTCCAGACTTCTAGCTCAAGATCTTCCAACTGTAGAGACTACGCATTATACTGAGAATTAGCTGTAAAGATCACACATGTAAAAGAATGGACACCAACCATCAGTAGTGCAAGACCCTTCTGGGGCAGGTTTTTGTGAATATGGGATTGGTGGACTACTTGAATCTGACATGTCTTCATCCTCCTCTTCCTCTTCCATTTCATTAACAGTTTGGTTGGTGGAAAAGTCCAGGCTTCCATTTTGTGAATAGCGATGTACTAACTCTTTATCCAACTCTTCTACCTTTGGCTTCACATCTGAGCAAGAACAAAAAAATAAAATAAACTTTTCATCAGTACTTGCATTTAGCTCCTTTTAAAATAATCAGCATGCCATTCTTTCTCCAAAAAGAGGCCCAAGATTCAGATTTTGCGTCACACAACAAACTACTGTGCGGCCTTTTTTTTTTTTTAATGAAACATATCCCACCCTTTTCTCACACAGAAAAACAGCAATGGAAATGTGCCATACTTTCATGGTTACCTTCCGGCAAGAAAGGTGGCTGGTCAGGATCCAGGTACAGCTGTGAGAAGATTGGCCGTGGGACAACGCTGCTACATCTCAGAGAAGCTTCTATAGAGTTATGAAGAGCTTCTTCAAAACGGGCAGATTTTAGTTGCCCTGCATATGAATTCCCCATGATCTAAAAACACAAAGAAAACATCTAATAAGGAGATGGGAAAAATGCATACACAGACCATTTACAAAAGAAGAGTGAGGTCTTATTAATGTCCACCATGACAGTGATATAAAGTTAATAAGAAAGTATGCTATGGAAATAACACTTCTAACTAGTACTACATGTTCACATTTCTCTCTCAATCTGGTAGACTGTGTCCTCTTGTTTCAATAACAGCTTTTAGCACATTTCCAACACACTGCTTTGTGTCTTCTGTATACATGGCTTCTCAACAGCCTCAAGAACCTGCCATGGGTAGAATTTAATGAAGGGTAGATAAAGTCATTATTACTGTATTTTTTAGGACTTTCAGAGTAGACTACAGAAGGGTACATAACACAGAAAATTAAAACTGTCAAGTTTGGCTTCATCACTAGTTGTCTAACTGCATTAACATAATTTTACTTGTCAGTATGCCATCATTTGCAAAGAAATAATACACAGAAGGCATCCAATAATTTGAATTTTTGCCCTTGCTAATATTAACTGAAATTATGTGGAAGGCCAATCCTCTTGTGTTTTCAGGGTCTTCACCTCTTATCTTCAATGTAACGCTATGATTTAGATGTGGTCTGATCCATATAATTATCTAATCATACTCTTACAACAGAAGATGTAAGTACAAAAAGAGAGAAATCAGTAACATCCAAACCATACACAGCAAATGCCGTGAAATGGTTTTATTTTAAAATATGCTTTACATCAGTATAGTGAGAAAAATCATTTAAATATCTGCTTTGACAATTAACATTTATGTTTATAAAAATGATGAATTTATGAACTTCATGAAATATTCAAGCATAAATAGACCATTACTTCTCCTTCAGTGACATTATACAGCCCACAGCCTGTTATATTTGTGCACCCACATTAGGATACAGACTCTCAAATGTAAACATTTAGTATAGCAGGATGGCCGTGGAAGTTTTACAATCAGCTAAGGTAGACTCACTGAAACAGGAAATTTTCCACTTTACTAGATCATCATACCATATGACATTTATTAAAAAAAATCCAGCAATCTAACATTTTCCAATATTGTAAATACAAGACTGCATTTTCAGAGAATTTTATTTCAACAGAGCTAACTTTTCCCAAGTTAAATCAATAGATCAAACCTTATAATGTTATCTTTGTACTTCCCTTCACTAGATGTCACCTAGCCCTATGACCAGGAAGAGACCTTGGCCAAGATGATAAGTTGGCATTTAGAAAAACCTACAATTCCGCTCCTGCTTTATCGCTGGGTTGCCCACGGTCCTCAGGGCCACCTGTAAAAGAGCAATAATGATGACATCCACTTACAGCAGCATTTCAGATCTGCTGGGATAGACAAATATCTAAGAGCTAAATATTGTTATACTACTGGAAGACATAGGCATCAAGTTTATCTAACTACTCACCTCCAGCCTGGCAGAGAGGCTCAGTTCCCTGTTCAGTTAGAGATGTTTTACAACTCTGGGCAAACAATTCCACATCTCTGACTTAGACCTGCTTTTAATAAATTTTGGGGCAACAGCATTTCCCTCCCCCAACTGGAGACAATTTCTTAATGGGACACGTTCAGGTATTTCAGCAATGAAATATTTAAAACAAGTATATTTTCTTTTTCATTCTGTAAATTTGGAATGGCAGGGAGCGTGTCCAAACACACAATTACAAAGTGAGTTAGGGAAAAAGTTATGCTGAAACATGTTTAACATTGCAGTACACTAAATCCTGTCAGGTGCCATTGAACAAAGAATTGATGAAAAACAGTTAAGTAACTGAAATCTCTGTTTTACTGAAATTAGTGATGATATTTCCATAAATGTCAGTGAAATAATGTCAAACTATTACATCATTAAATTGCCTAGCATAAGATTTCATTTCTGTGCTGTGGAATTTTATGTCAGGTACAATGTGCTTAAGGTAGGATTTCAGGAATATATTCAAACTATAAGACTTCAGTTAAAATACAATAATAAAAAAAATCAATCTTTAGGAATCAGAAAATTTGCCATTCCCACAGCACATCATCTACCCAAAGTCTGCTCATCCTCCACGTTTTCCACAATCTGTATGTGGCATACAATCTATGCCAACTACTTTCATTTTGATGGGAAACTATTAATAAAATACACTATGCGCACGACAAAAAGGCTGGTGAGCCAAGACTGTTTAATTTGCTCAGAATCTATACAAATTTTGGAATTTTGCTAGAATCCATACAAAGAGAATTGCTTGGGGATGGCGACTGCTGTGGATTTACCGAAGAAGGTTGGTATTTACTACTGGAGGACATTGCTAGCTCGCCGAGAGAAAACAAGAGTGCAATTGGAAACGCCAAGTAAAGGAGAGCTTTAGGAACCCCAGTTTGTGCGAGCACCTCAGCAGGGAAGCGGGGCGGGAGAAGGCTCGTCGGGGATGCGCTCGGGCGAGGCGGTGGTAGCGGGGGGGCAGAGCG